GGGGGGGGGGGGGGTGGCTTTTTTCTCCTTACAGAGATAGAAATTTTGGTTATTACTCGAAGACACCGGAATTTCCTTACGCTTGTTGCTTCTTACCTTACTTTTGATAATCATCCTCCACCCCTCTCTCTCTCTTTTATTTTTTTCCCCTTTTCCATTTCACAATCGTATCTATACTTCTCGATCCCCTTTTACACAGACTTATTTAAGGGATGGTCCAGGGCAAGTCGATTACTGCTACCGGACTGGACTTTAAAGCTACGCGGGAGTCCGTGATATTACGCAACGTTCATAATTCATTTATCGAAGGCCCTCCCACCGCTACCTTAAATCTACTCCTACACGTATACAGAGGAATAACTTCATATATTTTTTTTTGTTCGTGTTTATTAACCCTCGCTCCTGAAAAAAGTCCAGCCGATTTGTTTCCATTACGGACTTAATGAGTTGGTATATTCGTGCGGGTTGGACCCAAACATGGATACAAGCAGTTTTACCAGCGGCGGTACGGAGATGAAAAATAAATAGGGCTGGTATAAAGAGTGAGGGGGAAATGAGATAAAGAATAGTGATGAGAGATTAAACTAGCATTAAACTAGCTTGTACATGTACCGATATAAAGTACTTTCCGAAATTTATACTTATTTATACTTTCCGAGCGTTTATAAATAGGGTGACGAGTGTCGCATAAATTGTGGTATTAAAACCAATGAATGTTATGCCTGGCGTCGTCGGGTTTGCTCTATAGTTTTCCGGTAGAGCAACATTGCCATATGGCTTAAACACACCGTCAAAATCCCGCGTTGAAGTCTCTCTTTATGTGTCCCACCTGAGAACATTCTGACCTAATCTGACTACGCTTAAACCGCCGTATATAGTATAAATAAATAAAGAATACAAAGTGGGCAAACATTTATACAAGGTCTACAAGATTGATATAGGATTTAATATATATATACTATTCACCTTTTGATACCGTTGATATGTACACAGACTGTCATGGACCAATCAGATTAATTCTCTGGATACGTCAAATACTAATCATTAAATTTTTCGAACAACTTGACATTACTTAAAAATCTGATGGAGCTAATATTGGCTTTCAGGATTTTACATTTCTTCCATTATACTCGGAAAGCTATTTCGTGTATACCTTCATCATTGATTATACCGCTCACGTGTGAAACAGACGTAAGAATCGTATATTTGGAATTTCTGTCCGATGCATGAAAAAATGTCTTTGTCATCCGAATGAAATTCTTGCTGTTTCCTGTGATGGATGCCACTCGTCTTCCTCTCTACCCTAATCGAGAGCATTTTACGGTCTATGGATTTCTCATCCTGTATCTTTCACTCGATGCCCTCTGCTGTCCTATTCTTTATTTCTTATATTCCTTTTCTTTCTCTTTCTCGCTTCCCTCCGTTAAAGTTATCGTGCTCCGTCACACCAGACACTCGTATATTCAACGAGATGTCCGCAGCGAAAGACATTATTTGACGCGTGACCTTTCCCTTCGGTAACTCAGCCCTTCTATCTACACCTTCTCTGGAAGTTACATCGGTATAATTTTTCCTAAGGTTTACATATACCCTGCGTTTGACTTCTGGGAAGCGTGAAATGAACTAATTTTTTTTAAGCACGTTGCACGACTCTTATTGAAATTTAAAAAATTTGTTTATTGCGTATCTATTATTGTGAAATAAATGGTCAATACTGTCTCAGTAATTGGACAGCACTCTTCCTTATCATGGTAATAGTCTGGCGTCACTCTATAGGTATCAGACTTCGACGTATCTGAATAAAAATTTAAAAAAGCCGTATCAAAAGAAAGCTGGAAACGAGGATGAACTTTTGAATGAAAGCGAAAGAGAGGGTCTAAGCGAAAGGAATGTTCGCGCAATGTTATCTAACTAAATCCTCTCTTATATCTTTCCTGCGTATATATGTATATATCACTCAGGAAGATCCTATTCCAGCGTCAAGTGTCACAAAGTTCTACGAGCCTGAAGCGAAATTGGAAAAAGTCAAGACACCCCTTACAAGTATTTTTTTACGAAACGTACACACCACTTGTGCTCATTTAGAGCACTGTTGTATAGCATTGACATATATTTTTTTCAAAATCCAACTTTTTTCAATTCTACAAAATCGAGTTGCATTGTTATACAGTAGATGGACACTATACCCTTGTCAGTCACAGAATCCCAGTAGTGGGAGCGAACGAGACGCGGACTCGGCTGCAATTCGTAAAACGGGTAAGGTCTGATTTAAAAGAAAGTAATCAAGTACGACGACGTATTTTGCTCTAACGTCCAGTATATAATAAAGTTTTTACAGTCAAGAGCCTTATCCGCCATTGAATTTGTTCCTTGTAAAAGTGCCACTCTACCCCAGAAAATTTTTTTTCTTTTTCACTTTTTTTTTACCCCGATTCCTTCACACTTCATCGCGCTCTAAACACGACCAAAATTCCCGTAGGAAATTCGTATCACCAGAACGCTCCTCGTTCACTTGCCGTGGCTGCAGGACGAAAATCTCACGTTTTCCAATAACGCATCGCAATCGTCTATACCCTTATCAGCTTATTAGCTAATAGATAATGAATTTCCGTCCAGATGCTTGTCACGCGGCCAATCATCGCTCGGCTTTAATTATTTTTGACCCGTCGTAACGGGACTCATTATCCCGGGAAAGACAGAAGGAAAATACACGAGACGTAACGGGAAACTAACTTGAAAAGAACGTAAAGAAAACGACATGAAATTATTGCTCATCTAGAAAAGGTCGCGATCGGTCCTGCAGCCTGAAATTACACAGACATGAACAAAGGGGGTTGCCATTCGTAAATTAGCAAGCCTGACGTTAAAGTAGCTTCGTGGCTTGTAATACTTGTTTGTGTCCGTTCACCACCCACCTACATCATCCCCGACCGCTGTGCCCAGCGACTACGAGTCCCCTGTACGATATACCTGTCA